AGGCAGAGGGAAAGGTAGAAGCAGGCTCTCCAGGGAGCCCGATGCGGGGCTCGATCCCAGGACCCTGGGATCATGACCTGAGCTGAAGGCAGCTGCTCAACCAACTGAGCCACCCAGGTGCCCCACCCCTGCCTGTTCTTTTTGGCTCCTGGCTTCCCCCTTTGGAGGTTTGTCCTTGCCCCTTTTCTTCTCCAGCGACGTCTGAAGTGCCTTTTGGAGGTGTTGCCTTCGTTGGATTGTGTAGTTTGTAATAGCCTGTTCCTTCAGATGCACTTTTTGGAGCCTGAGGGTTGCATTGGGGACTTAACAGTCACAGGTGTTCGCAGATTAGACCCCTGCCCCTTTGGTAATATAATTCCCTCAAAAACTATTAGTCTTCTGGTTTAGTTGTTTCTAGTTAGTACGAGGTACTGGTAACCACACTCAAATTCTTCTCTGAATGTAGTTCTTCAGCCTGGTTTAATTTTTGGCTTCCTCTTTGGATCATCCCTCTGTCCCTTGTTTTGAAGGTGTCTGAAGCCGCAAGTGTGGGTGGGAAGCAAGCACCTTAACTCTGATCTTGAGCGGGCTGTTTGTCTCCTTGTGTTGCCCCAGAAGTCCTTACAGGAGGCTTCTTCCAAGCTGTCTGGGGGTGTAGAAGTGGTCAGTCTCCCCACCAAGAGTGGGAGGTCAGCCGTCAGTTACAACGTGATCTTGAGCAGCAGAGGCAGCTTGGTATGAAGAGTAGCGATGATGCTGCATTGCATTGAATCACGTGCCCCCTCCATCGGTGTGATCTTGGGCGAGTCACTGTTCGCACTGCAGTTTCTCCTCTAAAATGGGAAAAAGAGGTGCATCAGTGACATGACCCAACTTTTCTGTGGAGCCGTGTAGTTTAGGAAGCCTTTGGTTGAGCTCATCTGTGCCTCCCTGAGCTGACCCCACTCTGCCCCCAGCATGAAGTATGCGGTTTCTTCCTGGTGGTCCGGAAGTGCTGTGGAATGAATGAATGATATGTGGAAATCGGTGGAGTGGATAATTCAGTACATGTTCACTTTCCCTTGTTTTTTCTTTTAGAAAGAAGGAACTCTCAGCCACCAAGAAAGACCGCGTGAACCATTGTCTGACAATATGTGAAAACATAGTGGCACAGTCACTCAGGTAATTGCACTTCGAACTTTCTAGTAAAAATTAAGCCTGTATTTTTGTTCCTAATGGGCTAGAATATTCTTTGTCTCCCTAGTTCTCTTAAGACATTTAAAGGCCCATTTTCTCATATTTCTGGCTATAGCTATACGGAGTCATATTCCTTTTTGTAACTTAATGAACAAGAGTTGTAACCATTATGATAATTGAACAGGGTGTTTATATTTAGTTAGCACTCTTGGTAACTGTGATCACTGAAAAATCTTCTGTTTGATATTTTTACATTGTGGCAATAATTGGAACAGGCAGGAGACTGTCCAGTGACACGTCTTGTGTTTGCTTCTCATTGGCACCCTGCTGCTGTTCCGGCGTGCCCAGCAGTGGCCGGCGCCTGCTCACCTGCGCTTGGGGATCTGCGGGGCCCTGGGCAGCGGACTGTAGGCCAGTCTCCCTTGCTTCATCTTTCTTTTGTGGTGAACTCGTGGCATCTTCTTTTCAGTCTTTGCTAACTCTCCTCATTCTCTTTGCTTTCGGTTGTCTGTCTTTCCAGCCACTGTTCCTAGTGGCTGTGGAGGGTAAATATTTCAGGCCTGTTTCTAGGGCCTCAGTAGGAGACAGATGTGCCTGAGGTTTCTGAATTCTGTTACCTGGTTGGATATGGGTGAAATACTTCTCTCCTTGCTTTTCTTTCTCTTGGAACAAGTAATTCACATTATTGTCCTGCTTGGAAGCTGGAAAGAGCTTCTATAATCTGTTAGAATAACAATCTTGATTTTAGTACTGACAGAAACTTAGTGACTCACTTATTTTTAATGGCACCTTGCATTTGTATTTTATATTTTCAAAGTGATTTCGCATATAATAGTTCATTTTAGCTGAACTTGTTCCATCGTTTGGGAAATGTGGTGGATGATTTCTCTTTCTAATTTGTAGAAATGTGGGAAGCAAATGAAATAACAAATGAGAGTATGTGCTGAAAATAAAAATTATAAGTTAGCGTGCTGTTGTAGGAAACAACACTGTGATAAAAGTAGGGAAAAAAAGAATTCCATCTCTATTCCTTATAAGCCAGCTGATTTTGGATAAATTTAACTCCTTTCAGTCTGCATTTGTGAACTGTAAGTCCTGATTTTTGGGGTTCTTGTGAGATTGGGTGACGCTGCATCCCTGTTTGTTAGTCGCATGGGAGCGAGAGCTCTATAGGGTTGTGACGGGTCTTGTCCAGAGCTACCAGGTGTCACTGCTTTCATGTGAAGTGACTTAGATCCCTGACAAACATTTGCTCTCCTGCTGCCCTAGCAGAGTTTTGCCCATCTGACCTCCAGCATCCGGGAGTCCAGGAACATTTCACTGTGAAAGCTTATGGACCCAAAAGACAAGCTGTCTTCCACTTGGAATGCTTCCTGCTCTGTACTTATTGAGTTTCTTTTGCTCATTCTCAGTGGAATTGATGGAATGTCGGCTTAGATTTAAATATTAGTAAAGTATGTTGGGATATCTTAGGATTGGTTTGTGGCTCAGTTTGCCATCTTAAATCAAAATAGTAGCTGTTAGTGGTTTTCACAGTAGTGTATTTCTTCTGTTTTTATGGAGTAATGCTGATAGTCATGCTTCTTGTTCTACGGAGGGACATGTTGATGGGATATTTTATGGATCCAGAGAGGTCGTCTTTGGTGCCATCAGACCAAAGAATAATTTAGTTTTAAGATACTTTCCATACTTTGCAGGAATTTCAGAGTGTAGAGCTCAAGTAGATATTTTATTTATGTATGTAGTGTTTTATCAACTCTTTCTTATAGCTGGTATTTCCTGTGATCTCTCCTTGAATATAACTAAATCTTTGATACATTTCTGTAGCTTCTGTGATATACTAACTTTGTCTCCAGTGGGGTTATTTCAGTGGTAGCTTCTGGAGTTTTTAATGTGGGAAGTCATCTAAAACTTCATGGATATTGTGACTATTAGTGTATTTCAGCTCCCAATTTGGTGGTCTGACCTACGAGTTCCTAAATATGGATGAGAGTCAAGATCATCCAGAAAATTTGTCAAAAATACAGTAATGAAGATACCTCACTGTCCTCTTTCCCAAACACACTTATATTTTCTGTTCAGGTGTAGTCTGGGGATTTGTTTTTCACAAGTCTCCTCTTGGGAGTACTTGGGAACCCTTTTCTAAGCGTGTGCACCTTGATAAAGTGGTTAGGTAAAAATAAATATACAGAAATCCATAGGTTTCCCACATATTAGCGTAGGTCAGTCAGAAAATATCAGGGTTCAAGATCCAATTCACAGTGGCACCAACATCTAGAATTTCAAGGAACTGACAAGAAATATACAGAAAACATGTGGACTGCTGTTGGTTTTCCTGAAAGGTATAGATGACTACTTTCCTTCCTAAATGGAAGACTTTTTATTATAAAGCTGAGTTTTCTCTAAATTAATCCATAAATTTAAATAGCCTTGATCAGAGTTCTAGTAGGGGTATTTTTGAACTTGTTCACCTGCAAGAATAAATACATGAATGTTGCAAAGAAAATCGGAAACATCAGCAGTATGGTGAGAGGTGATGTACACAATGTTAAATTAGTTGTTAGACATTAATGGTTTGGGATAGAAAGTTAGGAGAGTGTATGTGTGCATCTGTGTGTGTGAATTTATGGTAAAGATAACATTTTGTATCAAAAGGGAAGCGATAGGTTATTGAACCAAATGACTCGAGGAAAATTATGTCTGTGCCTCATATTGCAAACAGACATAAATGTCAGGTTAATTACTTAGATGTAAAAAAATGAAATTATTATTAAAACTAGGATATTTGATCTTAGGCGGAGGAAGACTAATAATATAAAGGAAAACATTGTTTTGACTGGAATATGGTTCAGTATGTCAGACTCCACCTTAATCAGATTTGAAAGTAAATTCAACTTGGGGATGGTATTGACAGTGTACATATCAAAGGTTTAATAGCTGTATAAAGAGCAGTTATAAATCATTAAGGAAAAGACTGTCAGCCTAATAGGAAGGTAGGCAAAGAACATGACCAGGTGGTTCAGGAAGTAAGAAATATGTGTGGCCAGTAAACCTGACAGCTGACATGTATTTTTTGTTTCCTGTGGGAAAATATTCACATTTACTAGTCATCAGGGGAAAGAGACCAAAGCGAAAACAAGAATAGCTTCCATCCGTCAAACTGACAAACATTAAGAAATACTAAGGGGACGCCTGGGTGGCTCAGTCGTTAAGCGTCTGCCTTCGGCTCGGGTCATGATCCCAGGGTCCTGGGATGGAGCCCCGCATCGGGCTCCCTGCTCCGCGGGAAGCCTGCTTCTCCCTCTCCCACTCCCCCTGCTTGTGTTCCCTCTCTCGCTGTGTCTCTCTCTGTCAAATAAATAAATAAAACCTTTAAAAAAAAAAAAAGAAATACTAAGGATTTTTGTCAGAAGTGATACAACCTTCTTAAAAAAGGCAGTTTGGCAAAAATATCAAGCTTCAGACTGTCATCTTTGTGGCAGTCTCACCTGAGGACGTTATCCTCGGGAAAGTGTGACAACGTCCGTGCAGTGCTGTTCATCCCATTAGAAAATTAAAAATAATGACTTACCAGTTGGGGAATTGAAAAAGTAAGATACATTTATAGAAGGGAATGTTAGTTAACTTTATAAAAGATGATTGTTAGAAATGTGTGTTTGTGACCAGAAAATTTATTTATTTATTTATTTATTTTTTAAAGATTTTATTTATTTGACAGAGAAAGCACAAGCAGAGGGAGAGAGAGGGAGAAGCAGGTTCCCTGCTGAGCAAGGAGCCCGATGTGGGACTCGATCCCAGGACCCTGGGATCATGACCTGGGCCGAAGGCAGCCGCTTAACCAACTGAGCCACCCAGGCGCCCCTATTTATTTTTTTAAAGATTTGTTTATTTGAGAGAGAGAGCGAGGGCAAGCACACAGAGGGAGAGGGAGAAGCAGACTTCCCACTGAGCAGGGAGCCCGATATGGGGCTCGATCCCAGGATCCTGGGATCATGACCTGAGCTGAAGGCAGACGCTTAACTGACTGAGCCACCCAGGTGCCCCGACCAGAAAATTTATTAACACTATGTTAACAACTTAAATTTAAAATAGCAAGAAAGATATTTGCTCTGGTAAGATAAATACCAAAGACAGATTTACTTTCCTGTCTAAGACAGTTGATAATGGACAAAATATATGTGACAATGGTTTTCAAGACATCAGGCAAAGAGCAACAGCAGTCCTCGAAAAATGGAAAAGTGTGGGAGCCACATGACTCCCCCCTCCCCCGCCGTTACTGTGTGGAAGGAGTTATGTGGGGAGGGGAAACCCAGGCAGAGCCGTGGGGTGCATGTTTGAAGAGACAGACAGAGCTGCCAGCTAGAGCCAGCTGGGGAGAATCCCAAAGAAGACAGCGCTGCACAGAATGATCCCTGGAGCCTGCAGGGGGAGGGATTCTTGAGTCTTTAGCTCCTATGGAAGTGCAGGTGCTTATAAGGATAAAACTTAGGGCTGGGGTAGGATCACCTAGAAGGATGAGGAGGAACACTTGCTGGAACACTTGGTGGAAGAGCTCCTGTTCACACCAGCCGCAGTGGACAGGTATCCTTCCTGGGCCTTGGCTGGAGGATGCAGAAGGGTTTGCCCTCATGATGGGGGCTAACTTAGCCCTAAACTAAGATGTTATTCTGGTCCTGCCTGATAAAGCTTACAGGCAAAACCCAAGATTATACTCTTTCATAGTAACATTATTGCATCTCAGAGCAAAGTTCAGGAGTGTTTATAGGAATTCAGAAGTATATAGGGCCCAACGAGGTAAAAATTAGAAGATCCGGTGTCCAGTCAAAACTTCTCAGGAGTGCATATAAACAGGACAATAAAATTCGTAGTGGTCAGTTGAAACTGACTCAGAAATTGCACAGATGGTTAAAAAAAAATAAAAAAACCATGAAAACAGTTACTTTATGTATTTGAGAAGCTAGAGAAAAGATGGAATGTGTTATATAGAGAGACAAGACATTAAAAAGAGCTGTGTTGAACAAAGGTGAGAGTGGCTGCAGATTCCTTGCTGGAAAAACCATACGCGCCAGCAGTCAGTGGGGTGTCATTTGTAAAGTCTTGAAAACAGCCTGCGACTGCATAGCCAGTTAGTCCGTCTCTCAAAAACAGAGGTGAAGTAGACACGCAAAAGCTGAAATAATTTATGTCCAGCAGGCAGCCACTCTAAGAAATAGTACAGAGTGTTTCCAGTAGAAGGAAAATAAGATGAGAGAGGAATCTGGACCCACGCAGAGGATCGGAGAGCAGGGACATGGTAACCTGGCGCCATGTGACTAGAAGACCTGCCTCCTCATTTTCCATCTCTTTAAAAGTTAATGGATTGCTTGCAGCAAAATTAATAACCACGTATTTTGGGGCTTATGACATGTGGAAGTAGAATGTGTGACAACATTGGCATAAAGGCTGGCTGTAGCTTGTGTTTGGCCACATAGTGCCCCTGCCCCCGAGACAGCAGGTCCTGATCCCTGGTATCCTGTGTAAATGTACCTCGAAGGGAAAGGGTCTTCCCAGATGTGATTAAGGGAAGGATCGTGAGATGGCGAGATTGTCCTGAGTTGTCTGGGGGGACCCTAGATGTAGCCACATGTGTGTCCTTATGAGAAGGAGGCAGAGGGAGATCTCACACACAAACACACACAAACACACATACACACACACACACACCACGTACACAACCATACCCACACATGCACACACAAATACATACACACACCACACACACATAGAGCACCCCCCCACACACACCCCACATCACACATACCAACACACACATACAGACACACACATACACCAACACACACATACACACATGTACACAAATGCACGTACACACCCCCCAACCCCCCACCACACACACACCCCACATCACACAGATACATACCACACACACCACATACAGCACACACATACACACAGACACACACACACACATGCACATACACGCATGCACACACAAGCGTGTGTGCAGCAGTGTGAAGATGGAGCAGAGACAGGTTTGGAGATCAGGCCACAGGCCGGGGGTGCTGGCCACCACCACACTGGAAGAGGCAAGGAGCCCTTCTCCTTTGCAGTCTCTCGAGGGAAGTACCTTGATGTTTGGCCCAGTGATACTGATTTGGGCCTTCTGGCCTCCAGAACAGCGAGAGGGTGAACACCTGTGGTTTTCATCCACCCGGTTTCTAGTGGTCGGTTACAGCAGCCCCAGGAAACGAACCCAGTACTGCTGTCGGTTTCTCATGTTGTATGTGAAGTGCTGTAACGCCGTTAAGGCGGACTGGAATAAGTTAAAGATGTATCCTATAAGCAAGGCAACAATTGAAAGCACAACAAAGAGTTATAGCTAATAAACCAAAAAAGGAGATAAAATGGGGTCATAAAAATACTCAACCCAAAAGAAAGCAGAAATAGGGAAAAAGGCAAATAAAGAGCACCTGGGGTAAGTAGGAAAGAAATAGTGTGATGGTAGATTTAAATCTACTTAATGTCAATAATGACATTAAACAGAAGAGACAGGTTTCTTCAGATCTGATGAAAAACCAAAACCTCATGTATCCTGCCTATAGTAAGCCCATTTTCAGTATAAAGGTGCAAATAGCTTAAAAGTGAAAAATAAAAAGGCTGACCGTGCTAGCACTGATCAGAGGGAAGCCAGGGTGCTTGTGTTAATTTCAGACAGTGGATTTTAAACAAAAGCTGTTACCAGAAATAGGATGGTCACTTTTATAACGATAAAGGCATCAGTTCATCAAGGGGCATAGCAGCCCTAAATGTTTACGTAGCTAAGTACAGAGCTTCAAAAATACATGAAGCAGAACTTGATTGAACTGCAAGGAGAAACAGACAAATCCACAATTATAGTCCGATTTCAGTAGCCTCTCTCAAACATTCTTAGAGCAGCAGACATAAAATCTGGGTCTGGAAGACTTGAACAACAGTACCCACCCCTGTGGCCTGGTTGGCATTTATAGACACTCCACCCAGAACAACAGAAGACACGCTCTTCTCAGATGCTCACAGCACACTTGCCAAGAGAGACCACATGCTGAGCCATACAACAGGTCTCTAAATGTAAAAGGATTCATACAAGTATGCTTTCTGACCTCGATGGCATTGAATTGGAATCTGTTCCAGAAAGATAGTCTGGAACACAAGTAACACATTTCCACATGACCCATGGGTCACAGACAAAGTCAAAGGGGAAATCGGAAAGTATGCTGAATTGACCGAAAATAAAAAGAAAGGATTTCGAAAGTTGAGGTATGTCACTGCGGTGTATCCAAGGGAGGGTCATAGTACTCGGTGCCTGTCGTAAGAAAAAAAGAAAGTTCTCAAATCAGTGACCTCCGCTTCCATCTCAGGAAACTTGATAAACAAGAGCAGATGAAACCCAAATTTAGCAGAAGAATGGACATAAAGATAAGAGCAGAAGTTATAGAAAACAGAGAAGTCTATAGAAGCTCAATAAAGCCAGAAGTGAGTTCTTTGAGAGCGTCCGTAAGATTCATCAGACCGACCAGGCAAGAAAGAGTGAAGTCACACAGGTGTCTGGAGTGAGGGAGATGAGTTTAGTATGGGTTCTGTAGATATTAACAGGATTATAAGGGAGTATTAGGAACAACTTTGTGCAGTAAATTTGACAATTTAGGTGACATGGACAGACATGAAAGACATTTCTAAAGCTCTCTCAGGAAGAAATCTGTGACCTCATTAGTCCTGTATCAGTTTTATTAATAAAATTTAAAAATCAATATTCAGTCTAGTTATTGGAGAACTTTTAAGCATGGTTAGAAATGGTATATGAACCTACTTTTTTCTTTTAATTGAGACGGGACTGACCTATGACACTAAATTTGCAGTATACAGAGTGTCGGTTTGATGCGTGTATACACTGCAGTCTGATTGCCACAGTAGTCTTAGCTGACCCTTTATCGACTCACATAGTTACTGTTTCTGTTCTGTGGTGACAGCAGTTAAGATCCGGTCTCTTAGCAACTTTGAAGTTCATAATACAGTATTAATTGATTATAGTCACTATGTTGTGCATTAGATCTTCAGAACTTATTTATTACTTGCAAGTGAACCTTCTTTTATCTGTGGGTTTTATCAAGTCTAAACACAGATAACATTGCTGATGAAAATTTTGTGTTTGAATTGAGATGTACTGTGAAAAAGATTGTTATGTATATCAATAATTTCTTCATATTGATTAAATGTTGAAATATCATATTTTGGATATATTGGATTAAATGAAATATTATTTTTTAAAGAACTTATTTATTTATTTGTCAGAGAGAGAGCATGCGCACAAGCAGGGAAAGCTGCAGGCAGAGGGAGAGGCAGACTCCCCACTGAGCAAGGAGCCCAGTGCCGGACTCGATCCCAGGATGCTGGGATCATGACCTGAGCAGAAGGCAGACACTTAACCACTGAGCTACCCAGGCGTCTCTAAATGAAATATATTATTAAAATTAATTTTACCTGTTTCTTTTTATTTTTGATGTAACCATTAGAAAGCATAAAATCAGACATGTAGCTCACGCTGTGGTTCCGTAGCCAAGCGCTGCTTGGGGCGGCATTTGAATGCTCTACCCGCATCTGAGAGGCCTTTCCTGCTTGTGGGAGGTCTGACGTGCTGCTGGGTGTTTTGTTTCTTGCTTGTATTTGTCGATCGTTGCTAAGGTGGTCCTTTGGTTCTCTTAGGCTTGTGGCTCTTCTGACCATTGGTAGGAATTAGGATGTAGTGGGAAAGGGGGAGGACCCCCATTTCAGAGTATTCCAGGTTGAGATCATGAAACAGCAGTTGGATTTTTTTTTTTAAAGAATTTATTTATTTATTTGACAGAGAGAGACACAGCAAGAGAGGGAACACAAGCAGGGGGGGTGGGAGAGGGAGAAGCAGGCTTCCTGCGGAGCAGGGAGCCTGATGCGGGGCTCCATCCCAGGACGCTGGGATCATGACCTGCACTGAAGGCAGATGCTTAACGACTGAGCCACCCAAGCGCCTGAGGTTTCAAAACTAACAGCATTATACAGGGGCCGTATTACTGACTTGCAGTTCTTCACGGTGCTGTGAAATCAGTTCCTCGAACGTGGCCCATCAGCCTGTCTCTGTCTCGACAGTGTTCAACCACATGGATCGTGACAGCCCAGACGGGCTCTCTCAGTCAAACATTGTAAGATCACTTGCAAGCATTACATAGACTCTAGTCTTTGTAGGACTGAGCTAGAGGAACAAAACCACAGCCTGGCCGTGATCGTGTGTAGTCTGCAATGCGATATGGTTATGCTTTGGAACACATCGAAAGCAAGGTTTAAAAGGAGTGAAAAAGTTATATTGGTATACTGTGTTCAGGATTCCAAGCATATTGTAAGTAAGAGTAAAAGTAACCTGTTGGCAGAGATCAGATGGCTATCTGGGAGTGAAGCAGTGTCTTTTTTCCCCTCTTTTTTTATTTTATTGAGTTTCATTACATATAAAACAGTTCTTTTTAAGATTTTTTTAATGAAACCTTTAAAAAAATGAAATTGTGTTGCAAGTACAATCTCTTTTTTTAAATAAGCTTTTACATTTTAGAATAGTTTTAGATTTACAGAAAAGTTGTGAAGACTGTATAGACAGTCCCCCTATACCCCACATCCAGTTACCCCAATTATTAGCATCTTATATTACTGTGGTATGTTTTTCACAATTAATGAATCAGTATTAATTACTTATTAACCTTCGTTTTTATGTAATGTTGCTTTTCTGTTCCAGAATCCCATATAGGATACCAGATACCTCATTGCATTTCAGTGTCACGTCTTCGTAGGTTCCTCTTGGCTGTGACAGTTTCTCCCTCTCTCTCTCTCTCTTTTTTTTACTTAGAAATTCTCCAGAATTTCAGAAACTTCTGGGCATCGCGATGGAACTTTTTCTGCTGTGCAGTGATGATGCAGAGTCGGATGTCCGGATGGTGGCTGACGAGTGCCTCAACAGAGTCATAAAAGTAAGACCCTGTGAGCCGTGCTCTCCGAGCAGGACTTGTGGCTGAGAGAAGAAGCTGTAACTTAACTGTCTTCTGTTTCGAGTGGCACAGTCCCCCTGGATGTTTGTGCTTGTTGCATTTGGTGTGTGCTTTGGCGGTGCTCTCTTACCTGCCCGCGTGCTTGCTACCCCTGCTCACTCAGAAGGCAGTGCGTTCCCCGGAAGCCTGTGCAGTGCATAGGTCACGTGGGCAGTGCTGGTGGCCCTGGGTGTTCTTGGGGAAGATGTCACTAAGGCACCAGCTTTTGTTTGGGCAGAGCCTAGAGCAGCCACGAGGCCCTGGGGAGGCAGGGGACGGGTAAATGGAATCCGTCTGTGGTTTCTCTGTGGTGTCTCTAGCCCCTCTTCCTTCGTCTGCTTTCCTTGCCCCTGCGGAGACCTGCTCAGGAGACGGGGCTTCTGTAACAGGCTAGCTGGGGCTGGTGTGGCGGGGCTGGGCGAAGGAGTTCCCAGGGAAGGACGGCAGAGCCAGAAGGCCAAAGCGCTTGGGCCACAGGCGAGCTGCGGGTGGAGAGAGGACACCGCTGAGAGAGGCTGACTTTGTGGCCAAGACCACCAGAGCTTTAAGCTCCTGTTTTCTGCTGCCCTTGAAGATAAAGGCCTTCTTCCATAATTCTTACTGTATTGGAAAACCGTCCTTGTTTTTCTCATTCTGCCCTTCTCCTGCTTTGTGTCCCAGCGCATCCTGGTCACCTTCTTCTAGGCCACCTTTGCGTTTGTGACTGGGCCTTTTGGGTTGTGTGTGCGGACTCAGGTAGCACTCCCACTGTTGGTGCGCCGGCTCTGTGGTTAGCCCTGTAGGTCTCTCCGGACGTTTTCCTTGTTTCTTTCTCTGCAGGGATCCTTGTTTATTGGACCTTTCTAGTTTTCTTATTTTTCCCCTGCAGCTTCCAATTCCGCCCCTGAAATTTAGATAAGTCTTGGAGAAGAGCCCACATCTCTTCATTTTCCTTGCAGGCTTTTTCCTCATTTGGCCGGATAAACCAAGGACTACAAGCTAATGTAGATCAGTTGAATATTTCCCTTCTCGTTGGGATCTCAATAAAGAAACTGTTCTTTGGAGTCCTTCTCAGGGCTTTCTCTGGACAGTGGTCACATTTTACATTGGCCAAGCAGTTACCCTTCCTTTCTCCTTCATGGGCCCAGCCTTCTTCAGAAAGAGGATCACCCCCTCCTGCTACGTTCAAGGAGATTGAGGCCCTCTGCCAGGCAGATAGAGCATACATGGATTTTGGGAGTCAAGGGGACCTGTGTTTGAATCTTGCCTCTGTCCCCTACTAACTGAACAACTTCGGGAAATGTATTTAATTCTGTGAGCCTAAGTTTCCTTACCTACAAAGGGAATCAGACGAAGTTTGGTGGTGTGTGTGAGCGTGTATGTGAGGATCAAAGGCGGTGATGTGCTTAGCACCATCCTGGCCACTCACTGGTCCTCCAAGTGGTAACAAATATTATTAATAATGAGATTTAATTAAATAATTAATTTATTTTTAAAGATTTTATTTATTTATTTATTTGACAGAGAGACAGAGCACAAGCAGGTGGAGTGGCAGATAGAGGCAGAGGGAGAAACAGACTCCCTGCTGAGCAGGGATCCTGATGCGGGGCTCGATCCCAGGACCCTGAGATCATGACCTGAGCTGAAGGCAGATGCTTAACGACTGAGCCACCCAGGCACCCCTAAGCCTGTCTTCTTTAGTGACCTATTTCCAAGAACTGCTGGACTGAATAGCTTGGTATATGTGTGGTGGTTGTTGGCCGTGACCCTGGGTCGTAACCTAAGGCCTGGGTTGTCTTTCTGGCCATCTCCTGTCCTATTTCCCCTGTGTTAGGCCTCCCAGTGCAGAGATTCTAGTTTCTCCTGTTATGGTCCCAGACGTGAAGATGAGGTCAGTCTCGACCTCTTTTTCCTGCTTGAAGGTGGGCATGGTGGGGTTTAGCTATACTTAGATCTGTGCTTCCTCAGATGCTCTAGTCTTCAGGTTCAGCAGGCTGAAGCCAGATCAGGGTCTGGCTAGATTTGCTTTCATTGTGGCAGAGGAAGGATAGGCTTGGGAGAGTGTGGGGATGGCCCTTGGCTGGGATGTCAGGCAGGGGCAGGAATATAGACATGGTCACTTGGGGGTCAGGTCCTAGACTTTTGTCTTCTTTTGAGTGTTGTTATATGCTTCTGATGAGACCAGACTCATGGCCCAAGCAAATGGGACATGTTCCTTTTCATTTATATAGGAAAATGCAGTGGGGATCTGATTCAGCCTGGCAGCGTGCTCCTGCCTCATGTAATTTACGGTCTCAGGTGGGGAAGCACGTTTGTACAGAAATCACTCAATACATGGCACAAACTCTAAGTTCTGAGAGACGCTGACAAGTCATCATGGCACTGTGGAGACTGAGGTATCTTCTGTCTGGGAAGGCAGAAAAGGCTTCCTGGAGGTGGTGGCTAGTAGGTGAGTATGGAGATTAGGGGCCCTCTTAAACAGTGCAGCACCCTGCCTCTCTGGGGCTCCAGGAAGCCTCTGCAGGCTCACAGAGGAGGGTGGCTCCGGTGTGTGCCCTCAGAGAATGGGAGGCATTGAGGGTCAATTCAGGGAGGTTTGTCCTTTATTTGGTAAACAGTGAGGAGCTCTCAAAGATTTTTGATGTGGTCAGTGGAGTGCTTTATTAGAAAGAGTAACCTGGTGACAGTGTGTGGCCTGCCTTGGAGTAGAGAAGGACGTGCGTACCGAGAATCCATGTGGGAGGCAGAGTAGTCCAGGCCTGGGAGAGTGAGGTCTGAGCCAGGACGGTGGCCCTGGGAGTGGGAGCGAGGAGGCGGAGGTGGGCTGTCATGGGCTTGATTTGGCAGCTGAGTGGGTATGTCCACTTTGGTGAGGAAAAGATTTAGGAGCAGGGAGGGGTTGGATTGCCATTACCCAGTGACTGGGAACCCCGATTCTGTGCTATTATTAGGGGTTTGAGGTTTAGTTTTCTCTTGTTATAAAGTAAGTTTGAGATTAGTTTATAAAACAAAGTGAAATAACACTTGAATGTGGCTTCTGGTTTTATTTGCAAAGTAGCATCTTACTATATGTTGTTCGTTTTGGTGTGCTCGTTTACAGATTTAGTACAAACTGAAATGGAGGAGTTAGGATTTACAAATTTCTGAGATACTGTTATACTTCAGAAGCTCCCCAAATATGACTCTGCTTTTGATTTTCAAGCTCACTGAACCAGTAGGTGAACCCATGTGAGTTGCTAAGAGCAGCTCAGGTTGTAGACGTCATAAGCCCTATATCACATGAAAGAAGCTTGGTTTGAGGCTTGGTTACGTCTTTCCTCTCTTCTTGGTGGACAGTCCATTGGCAGTACCATTTCAGAGGAGAGGGTTCCCATGGTCGAGAGTGGGGGCCAGGAATCTTTCCTTTCCCTTCCTTCCATCTTGAGAAGCCCTCCCTAACATGGACTCTGCCTCTGGTGGTGGTTGCCTCTGGCCGTTCTTACTGGGTTGCAGTTGGCCTGGTGGCTGTTAGTTTTGGTTTGGTCCATAAGTGAGCGGGGATGGGGCAAGGAAGGTGTTGTGAGGAGCACGAGGCTCCTCGCCCTCCTTTGGGTTCTGAGCCACGGGGCTGGGAGCATCCGTGCCTCGAGGGAGAACCTTCAGAAAGGACGGGGGCTCTGCCTGCCGGAGCGAGGGTCTCTGGTCTTAAAAGTATGCTCACTGCCTTGCTGGCATCACAGACTTCAGGCCATTATTAATGTTGGGCCATCCAGCAGCGTGCACTTTAATGAAGAAGGAAACCTTTCAGGTGTTTTCTCCTCTCATTGCATATTAAAGCTTTAATATAAGAGCATTAGAATGAATTTGAACCATCTACCATTGGATATAAATATCATGTGGTATTTGATTGTACATCAAGTTAAATTCTTTCCCTTCAATTTTTTTATTCAAGTGAGTGACCTGTGTCTAGTTTATTCAGTGACTTCCTGTATATATGTGCTTCTTTCTTTTTTATTTTTTTATTTATTTATTAAAAGATTTTATTTATTTATTTGAGACACAGAGATA